GAAGATGCTCAACTCACAATAAAAGAGTTACAGAATGCCCTAGACTCCGCGGGTTTTCCGTTAAGAAAATGGACATCCAACAACAAAGAGGTGTTAGCTTATATCCAACCCGATCATCTTCTGAACAGCGATTTCCTTGATCTCGACACTGAAAGTACAGCCAAGACTCTCGGTATACGGTGGAGAGCGACGTCCGATGAGTTTTTCTTCGTTCCCCCAGATCTACCCACAGAAATCTCCCCCACAAAACGCCAGGTGCTTTCCCAAATCGCCAAACTGTTTGATCCGGCAGGCTGGCTCGCTCCATTTGTTGTGTGTGCCAAGATCTTTATGCAAGAGATTTGGCTTCAGGAGCTGGGGTGGGACGATAAGCTGCCATCTGAGCTGTGCCAAAGGTGGCACAGTTTTCTTCAAAGCTATTCGATCCTTGATCAGGTCCGGATCCCAAGATGGGTTTCCTTTTGCCCAGAATTTCGCTTAGAGCATCATGGGTTTTGTGATGCCTCGCAGAAAGCCTACGGCGCTGCGATCTACGTGCGCGTAGAGATGGGACATACCACGATGGTACACCTGCTCACCGCCAAAACGCGTGTTACGCCAGTCAAAACTGTGTCGCTTCCTCGACTAGAGCTGTGTGGAGCTTTACTGCTAGCCGAAATGGCTGAAGCGATCCTTCCCAGCATGCCGATGCTAAATTCGAGTCTCCACTGCTGGACCGACTCCACCATTGTGTTGGCATGGTTAGCTAAGCCAGCTTGCCGTTGGACTACTTTCGTTGCCAACAGAGTGACAAAGATCACTCAGTCCACAGAGGCAGCCAACTGGTCACACGTTCAATCGGAACATAATCCCGCTGACTTGGCTAGTCGAGGGGTGGCCCTTCCAGAGCTTGTCGGTAGTTCTCTCTGGTGGCATGGACCCACTTGGTTGCAAAAACCACGTAGCCAATGGCCTAGCCAGGGGACCGACCTACCCGTGACCGAGATCGAAAAGCGAGCAGTCAAAGCCCACGTAGCGTATATTCCGAACGAAGACTTCCTTGATCGTTGCGGGTCCTCGCGTATGTCCAGCGATTTATCAGTCGGTGCAAAAAACAATCGCAGCTTTCAGAGATCCGTCTGGAGGCCAAGGAACTTGTCGCCGCCGAACGGCTCATGATTCTCTGCACTCAGCGCAGGTATTTAACTAACGAGTATCGCTGTTTGAGTCAGAAGCTTCCGGTGCCCCCCTTCCAGTTCGATCCTCTCCTTGAACCCTTTCCTAGATCAGGAGGGGCTGATAAGGGCATGTGGCCGTGTAACAGCCTCTGAAAGTTTGCGTTATGATGAACGACATCCGATAATCCTCCCGTACGAATGTTCACTCTCTCAGCTTCTGGTAAAGTTCACGCATCTCATAACGCTACACGGAGGTAACCAGTTGGTGGTACGTCTCACCCGTTCCAGATATTGGGTTCCGAGAATTAAAAACTTGGTGAAGGCAGTTATCAATGCCTGCAAGGTTTGCGTTATTTACAAAAAGAGATTGCAAGTCCAGATGATGGGAAATTTGCCAAGAGAACGAGTGTCATTCTCCCGTCTTATGTGTTGGTTTTCGTTGGTTTCTCCACTAAGGCTATCCATTTGGAGCCTACTTCAGATCTGACGACCGAGAAATTTCTTGCGGCGTTCGCTTGCTTGTATCCAGAAGAGGGTGTCCTCGCCAAGTGCAGTCGGACAATGGGAAGACCTTTGTTGGCGCTTCCACATTACTGTCCCGGGATTTTCTCCAGGCCGTTAAAGAGTCTGTGACTGATGCGTATAGTCATCAGCAGCTCGACTGTCATTTCATTCCGCCAGGAGCACCCCATATGGGAGGCCTATGGGAAATCGGTGTCAATAGCTTCAAGGCGTTGTTCTATAAATGCACAGCTACGCGGAAATATACCTTTGAAGAACTTGCCACTCTGCTAGCGAAGATTGAAGCTTGTCTAAATTCCAGACCGCTATCTCCCATGTCAGAGGATCCCACTGATCTTCTAGCGTTGACACCAGGGCACTTTCTTGTCGGCGGCCCTCTTCTATCCATAGTGGAGCCCGAAGTAAAGGGTGAATCCAAGACCATATTAAACAGGTGGCAACATTTGAAAGCGCTCCATCAGCAATTCCGCGCTCGATGGAAGGATGAATACCTTAAAGAGCTCCACAAGCGCAACAAGTGGAAGTGTCCCACCGAGAATATGCGTGTCGGGGACATGGTCGTCATCAAAGACGACGATCTGCCCTCAAATGAGTGGCGACTCGGTAGAATCGACTCCGTCTTTCCTGGAGCCGATGGCAATGTTCGCGTAGTCGACATCCAGACGGCGCGCGGCATTGTCCGGCGTCCAGTAGCCAAAATTGTTCTCTTTCCCGGAGAGGCTCCCCAAACTTCTACCCAGTAATCCATACGTCGTTGTCCGTAGTCCGTACCCCCAAGTCGTACCTTTATAAAAAACCTTCCTTTGTTTTTTCTTTTTCATGATCCAACGCCGAAACCCGTAGACAATGGCTCCGCGTAAGCAAAACGCTCAAGTGTTGGAGAGCAGGCGGACTCGAGGCACGCAGTCCTACCGGTGCCGAGTCTGCCGGGGGATCCACCCTCTAAAGAGGTGCCAGAGGTTCCTCAAGCTGAGCGCGGAGAAGCGGCTACGGGCAGTTCTTGTCAATAAGTACTGCGCAAATTGCCTTTCCCACGAGCATTCGCAAGGGGACTGCCGTAGCGGTGACCGGTGCAGAACGTGCGATGAGGAGCATCACACGCTGCTCCACATCACCGAGCCCTCCAAGCCTTCCAAAAGGGGCTCCGCTTCTCAGCAGCGTTCGCGCCGGCAAGATCCGCCAACTCGCAGAGCGCTCGCTTCTCCACCGCGCTCAGCATCCTCGACACCAGAGCCCTCGACTCGCGCAGCGCGCGCTGCTCCGACGCTGGCAACCCTCCTTCAGCACCACGTCGTCAACGTCCTTCCAACGGCTTTGGTCACCCTGGAGGCGGGTCCAAAGATCGTGGACACCGTGGCGCTCATCGACCCCTGCTCGCCTCAAAACTGCATCGACGCCACCCTGGCGTCCAGCCATCGTTTGCCGACCACCAATGTCGGAAAGGAAAGGGTGTGCACGGCGATCCTCCGATCGAAAGTCGTCGAGAGAGCTGCATTGGAAGTCGTCCTCAAGGTCGAACCCGGCGTCGGCGTCCGCACCCCCATCCGAGCGATCGACGAATCTGTCGTCGGCCGCTACAAGGACATTCCGCTGGCCGACAAGCGGTTCTATCTGCCGGCGTCGATTTCCATGGTCCTGGGTGCGGATGTCTACGCCAAGGTCATCCAACCAGGATTCCACCTGGTCGCCGAGGGATTGCCAGTAGCTCATCCAGCTTCGGCTGGATCCTGTCGGGCGCCTGCAACCAGGGCTAGTTATTTTGCAACGCCAGCGGTTGCAAGGGGGGCGGAATGTTCAGGCCTCTCCCGCTCTCCCTCTCCCGGAGCTTCTCCCCACACCGCACTCTCCCTCTCCCGGAGCTTTGAGCATGTCGCGCTCGGCCGTCCAGGCTCTCCACTCCCCGAGCGCAAGAAGTTTCCCCTGCGCCTCCAAGCGCCTGGCTTAGAATAGCTTAAGTTAGTTCCAAATACGTCAACGCATGAATTAAACGCCCGGCCGGTCCGCGCCACGATTGAAATCTAAAGTCTTTTTCTTTTCCGCGATCGCCGAGTGTTTTTCTCACCCCCCACAGCTTACACCGCCAGACGTCGCTGACCACAGGAGTTTGCTGCCTTCAGGTCGGACGCCCCCAACACAACACAAAGCGTAACATGTAATATGGCACAAAAATATTTTGAAAGGGTAACAATATGGGTGCGAAAATGACGGAACAATTAATACTCATTGTCTTATAACAGTCCTTTTTAAACTCTATGCACAGCATAAGGATTAAATAACACACTCTGTTTCAGTTTCTTTCGCACTTACGGGATACCTCCCTCTCACTCGCACTCATTGTAGTGCGCAATAGGGGGAAGAAAATGCAGACGGAACTACCTTATATAATTGTACCATGAGGTAGACGAAGACTGTTATGATTTAAACTTTTGTAAACAAAGGGCAGTACAAGTAAGATTTTTGTAACCAGAAATCAGTCCTAAGTTGAGATCAATTGAATAAAGACGTAAACATAAATCCTCGTTCATTTATTCTCCTTAGTGTTGCCCTTAGTCAACTGACGGGACATTAGTTCGACTCATTTAAATAATAATAATCAATTTTACTCTATGCATATTACGTATACTTACTAACGCGGCGCAAAGTAAAACAATGTTTTGTGCCGGCAAAAATGCCTAAAGATCGGACGCCTCGTTTCTGCCCACTTTAAAACTATTATTAGAAAGATATTCCAATCGCTATTTTTAATCGCGGGTAAAGTAAACACTAAATACCTACATCTGCTACATTAATTTTAAAAAATGCAATGACATTGTAAGGATTAAACTTACATTTGAATATAGTATTTTTTTAAATAAATAAATGTTTTAAGGCACAATCTCCTCTGGGTTTCAAGCCGGAGAAATGACTTGCGAAAGAAAAAAGCAAAGATTGTGACACGTTATGCAACTGGAAGCAAATCTGGTGACATCGTCCAGGTTGATGGAACCTGTTCCTGAAGCGCGCCACTCGATGTTTAGTCAGTGTGTTGAATCTTAACCGATCCGAAGACTATTAAATGCTTTCTTGATCTTAGAGTTCACATGTGCCTGAAAGTGGGTCTCAATCTGACGGGTAAGAACGCTATTAATTGAAACTTCGTACCGTTTTAATCAAAATATTCCTTATGAGGCATCGAGCCAAAAAAAACAATAATATGTATGGCTTTCTACTTTAAGATGTTTTAAAAGATAACTGTACTTATTATGACAACAGAGCCGTTATAAACTGATGCTTATGTTAAATTAACCCTTTAATATACGTAACCGTTGATTCTTTTTTTAGTGTTGCCGGTACAATGGGAATTGTATTTCCGTATTTGGGCGAATTTCAAACAACACAGCACAGAGAAAAGGTTTTATGCTGGATGGAGCTTTTCTGGACGCTTGGTATAATAATTTTGCCAGGTATGCTTTAAATAATTTTTTTTTAATTTTTTTAAATTTCTACAAGTATAACAATAAATCATACATTTTAACTTTTAGTTATTTTGTTATCATGCTTATTTTATATTTATAATTGGTTTGTATGTTTTTAAGTAATAAATTTCTCTACTATACATTATATAATAAAGTTTTTATATGTGTGGAGTATGTCTGTGGTTGTCTAACAACAACCATTTAATGAATCAGTAGACACACGACGTGAATATAATATAAAAAGGACATAAAAGTCGAAAAGAAGCAGACAACACTTCAAAGACGAACGACGAGTTTTTTTTAACCCTCTATAGCTGTCAGTTAATCCTGCAATGGGATTATCTGTGTTTGAGTTCTTATAATTGTGACTCGACTTTTGATGCCACAGAATGCTCGTACACATGCTTTAGTCAGGTGCCAGCTCTGCAACCAAGAAGTATAGGACCTATTTATTGAGTTCCAATTAGTTATGCTAAGTTTAAAAATAATAATATTATAACAAAAAATTACCCTGAGTAATGGACTCTCGTTTATCTACCAGACTAAAACAGTATTAGTGAACTTATTGTAGGTCCAACAGAATTACAAAGTGAGTAGTGGAGCTTCAAGGCTTGGATGTCGACCTTGGTTTAGTTTTTTCTTAGGAAGCGGAGTGTACGATGCTTAAGTTTTCTGTTTTGGCAAAATATCTTGCCGAAAATCAGGACCGACTAATGACCTTTTATGGGGAATATTATTATTAGTCGTCATGAGCTTGGATGATTCATATTAAACAAGAAAGGCAGCTAGCTTCGGCAAGCCGAAGCTTATATACCCTTGCAGTCATCAAATATGTCGAACAAAATACATAAAGGCTATTCATTTTCCATATTTTCGACTATTGTTCATATGACGGCTACATGATAAAGTCGTCCGATTTTGATAAAAATGTAACATGTAATTTAAGAATCGTTCAGTTTCACTCCAGACCTCATTGAGTAAAGACGTGCAGCTACGGCGATCTAAATCACCAACAACCAGTGCTTATCAGCAAAATTTGCAAAAACAAACAAGAAAACAAAAGAGACTCCCAAAAAAAATTTAAAAAATTCAACAACAAATAGTCACGTGATCACAACAACCACAAGCAGGGGGTTCCCCCCACAAAACCAAAATGTTACCACCAGACAAAAACCGACTTTTTTCTAAAAACTTAATAACTGAATATAAATTCATTGTTATAAAAAGTAAAGACAATACATCCCTTGAAAACACATTATTCATTCTAAAAAAATCAATCGACTTCATCTGCGGAGGTGAAGTGGAAAAATGTAAAATTACAAGAGCAGGTACAATTCTAATTCAAACAAAAAACATACAACAAACCAAAAAACTACTAAAAATTAAAAAACTAGGTGAAGTAAACGTAGAAGCATACGAACACAAGAACCTTAACCAGACCAAAGGTGTTATTTATTGTAATTTGCTTAGGAGTTTCACAGAAGAAGAAATTCTAGCCGAAGTTTCTGAGCTGTACAAATGGACCAAACTAGTCGATCAAAATTGAGTTCCAACAGGACTTATAACGCTTACATTTAACTTTACCAATCTCCCTGAAAAAGTGTTTGTCAGCTATGAAATAGTATTCACACGCCCATACATACCACTTCCCATACAATGCAAAAAATGCGTTCGCTTCAACCACCCCCAAGTTGGCTGCAAGCAAGACAACCCTACATGCAAAAACTGCTCTGAGACCACCCACAACAACGACAACAACGACTGTAGGCAACAACTTAAATGCATTAATTGCAAGGGAAACCACTCATCCAGACACAGAAAATGCCCAATCTTTCTCAAAGAACAGGAAATTATAGCCATCAGAATCACCGAAAAACTTGACCACAAAACTGCCCGTTCCATATACGTCATAGTCCTATCCAAGAAATTTCATACTCTCAAACCTCAAAATCTACCACCAACAGAAAACCCCACCTCAGCAACTGAAACACAAATACATAACACAAACGTAATTCATAGGAAAACAAACAACATACACGAGTTCCTCAAAGAGGTGAACAAGGCACATGCAGGACTGAAGAAGATAGCACGAACCCCCGCCGCCTACGAAATATTCGACGAAGAAATGCTCTTAATTACCAACGACGACTCTGAAAGACCCTCGACATCAACAAACGAACGCGTTCTCAGAAGCCAAACTAAAGAAAAACCCACCCTATCTAAAAACCTCAAAGCAAAAGAGCAAAGAACAAACCTTTCCAGTACGAACGTCATAAAACACAAAAACTGCCTTAAAATATGTCCTTAAAAATATTACAATGGAATATTAAAGGATATACGAACAACAACAACCAACTACTAATACTCATCAAGACACACTCTCCACATATTATTTCACTCCAAGAAACACACATACAACAATTTCACAGCCTACCAACACCAGTAAACTACAATATATGTACTATCTAACAGATTTGGAGGAGTAGCCCTGCTAATCCACAAATCAATCTAACACACTCAAAGTAATATCAATGAAGATGTAGAAGCAATAGCAGTAGAGATAAAATCAAAAGAAAACTTTAAAGTATACTCCGTTTATATTTCACCTAACAAATCCTTTTCACGTAATAACCTGAGCAACGTAATTAACTTTAACAACGAATCTGTTATGATATCAGGAAATTTAACAGCTGGCACCAAAACTGGGGATCTGCACACTCGAATTCAAGAGGAAAAACAATAGCCAAATTCATTGAACAGTCACAACTTACACTACTAAATGATTAATCACCAACACACTTTACTAAACACAACACCTTCACACACATTGACCTCAGCTTTTGTTCTCCATCACTTACACCACTCACAACCTGGAATCTGATAAATGACCTTTTGCGGAAGCGACCACTTCCCAATCATCATCACCCTTTTTCCAACCGACACAATCATCAACAAAAAGATACCAATTTTCAAATTAAACGAAGCAAACTGGGATAACTTTACAACCCACACACATAACAACAGTAACCTATACCCCCCTTCAACCAACATAAACAAAGAAACAGCATTAATTAACACAATAATCATTAAAAGCGCACACCATACCATACCACAAACACTACCACACCTACACTCACGCACAGTTCCTTGGTGGAACAAAAACTTAGCAAACTTACGCATTGAGGAAAAACAGACATGGAAAGCACTGAAAAGAAACACAACCCAAGAACCGATCATTGCTTACAGAAAAGCAAACGCGCTTCTGAAAACGGAAATTTAAATCAGGAAAAGGGTATCCACAACCACTTTCACATTCGCCATTCAAGCAAGCACACCAACACCAACAACAAAAATATGGAACAACATTCGCCGATTTGGCGGTCTTAACCCAGCAAAACAAATACACTGCATAACAACCAACAACAACGTGACTACCAACGACAAAAACCAAATCGTCAACCTTCTTGCACATCATTGGTCCCATCTTTCATAAGACGCAAACTTCAGCCAGGAACTCACCTCCCATAAATACAACACAATAACCCTCAATCACATTCCATCCACATCTGCTATAGAAATCGACAAGCCCATAACCAAAATCGAATTAACCATTGCTCTCCTATCATTTAAAGGCTCAACACCAGGACTCAATAAAATCTCATACCCCATGATAAAAAACAGTTCACCATCAATAAAAAATAGAATACTTTCTCACTTCAATCACATCTTCAACCACTATATACCTCAATCATACAAAACCAGCCTGATCATACCAATTCTAAAACCTTAAAAGGATACAACTGACATCTCATCATACCGACCCATCTCACTTAACTGCTGCCTGAGTAAAACAATGGACAAAATAATAGCGAACAGACTATGGTGGGTTCTTAACAACGACAAAGTTCTACATTAATTCGGTTTCAAAAAAGGCAAATCGACTTCGGATAATCTGCTCTATGCAGCTCACATCATTACAAAGTCACTTAATACCAGGAAACATACCTCACTCATCTCTATTGACTTTGCAAGAGCTTTTGATCGAGCGGATACACACTCAATATTTGACCAATATAATATAAATTATATTATAAACTTCACAAAGAACAGAAAGATAACAGTCAGAATAGGGACACACAACTCAAACATACACCCTCTAGAAAACGGAATCCCACAAGGATCCCCCATATCAGTTGTACTCTTCCTAATAGCCTTCAATAAACTAGCCAACATCCTGACAAGATATAAACAGATAAAATTTAGTGCATATGCAGACGATTTATTTTTGCTGGTAAATCTAAAAACAAGAAAAACATTACCATCAACCCAAACCACATCTTTAGGAAAGTAGAAGACTGGGGAAGCTACTCAGGCGCATCCCCATCACAAACAAAATGCGAACATCTACACATATGTAAAAAACACAGATGCAACTCCATAATCACAACACAGAATTCAAACCGAAAAAACGTAGAATCACTTAAAATACTCGGACTAACCATAAACAAGAAATACAACTGGAACTCACATACTGACTCTCTCATACCATCACTTTAAACAAACTTAACATCATAAAATGCTTGGCCAGCCCCAAGTTTAACTGCAACACAAACACTCTACTAAACATCACAAAAGCCATACTTATATCCAAAATTGACTATGCACTTCACACATATGGATACGCCCCAAAAAATACACTAAACAAATTAAAAACCACACTAAACGCAGCTCTTAGAGCAGTCCTAGGTGCGTTTCGCATATACAATTTACTTTACGAATCTAGCATCCCAACCATCGAGCAACGGCGGGATCATCTCACAACTAAACTCTTCAAAAACCTTATGCGCTCCAAAGACACACCAATACACAAACTTATCAAACCAACAACCAGAAGAAAAAAATGGACCTCAACACTAGATTGAGCCATAAAAAACTGTCTACAACTTAACATACCCTTTAAACCAACAAAACTATACAAAACAAAACCG